TGCAGTCGCTGCTCTCCCATGTGCTCCATCACCCCAAATAACTTGCAACTCACATTTCGACACGCAATTACTTCCTGCTCTCCAAGTTCATGCTTCAGTTCCTCTTTAATTCTAGAGCACTAGAATGGATGGCAGCCAAGGGAAAAAAATCATCAGGGCAGGCAGATACCGTCACTTCTGCGGCAAATGTCAGCTCATACTTCAGTGCTACAGGTCAGCTAAAGCTCAGACACCTAAACTGGGTGGTGATGAAGTGTCCAGGATGGGGCCATCAGGGCACCAAGAGCACGACAGAATCTGCACGTGGGAATGCCCATGTTAAAGCCTTGCCAGGCTGAGAGAAGGGCAAACATCTGCAGGGACCACCCGAGGGAGAGAAATTCCTCTGGCTTTAGCAAATGTGTAACAGTTGCTGGGGAGGAAAGGATGCAAGAAGACAAACACAAAACATCCCCGGGGGAGCTGACCCTGGCCTTAGCAGACATTTCCAGGCTCATTGTCACTGTGTCAGACCAAGTGCTGCAGCTCTGTTTTTCAGGGTATCAGCGTTTCAACGACTGACCCCTGGTGCCTGTGTGCACCAGCTCCCACCTCCCTCCAAGTCTTCCCACATCCACGGAGCAGGGAAAACCATGGAGGGATACTGTGGGACACGCTCTCTGCCTCGACATTAGCCATGTGGGCCACCAAGTGCCCACATGTCAAAGACCAGCAGGATGCCTCCGCTGGTCCCCATCCCACAGGCAGCAGCTTGAGAGCTCACACACATCCCCCTTCCACCAGTTAAAGGGCTGATCCTGGGCAAAGCGGGGCACATCATTCCTCTCCAGAATGCTGCTCAGGAAGGATACTTGGCCAGGCACGGGTGATCCCTGCCTGCCCCCCTGGAGCCCCACCCATCTTTGTTAATTAAAATTCAGAGCGAATCACTGAAATGTCACAGTATCATGCCTGGTCTGCAGTGCCCACTCGGTGCCTACTATGCAGGCAATGCAACTCTGCCAGTAAGGAGGGAGCTGCAAATACAGAGCAATAACCTGTTGCACTGGCCACTTTAAGGGAAAAACCAGGCTGGGCTGCAGGGAGCTATGTGAAGCTGGGGTTTCCATGGCTCCTGGGGAGGATCTTGGCAGGAGAGCTTTGTGTGTACAAGCAGCTACTGTGCCCACAGAAACCCAGGACACACAGCACCTGAATGCAGAACAGGTTCAGCTGGGGAAGGTGATGAGGCTGCAGTGGGGGGCATCACACAGCACCCTGACACAAGCACAGCTCTGACCTGTGAGTTAACTACTGCCCCAATAAACAGCCACACAAACAGAGCTGCTCCACTCCCTAACAGAGGGAAGTGTGACCCTTCTCAGCCTGCTTTCCCACACTAACCCATATGGGAGATTGTAAATTGTTGAGCCCATCTATAGGGATGTTAACCTTGGCAGACAGGATCACTAGGTGATCATCCTTTTCTCTGTTTTCCTTCTTCATTCTTTCAACATCTTCCTTGAGCTGCTGGATTTTCTGCTCCTTGCTGCCAATCTCCCTTCGCAGGCTGGTTGCTAGACCTGAGAACGAAAAGACTCTGGCGAGAGGCCACCCAAGCAGACCCCAGCGATCGCCCTCCAGCCGCCAAGCAGCCGTCTTCCCTCTTTGGCAATCACTAGCCATGGAAAACAGATTCTGCTGTTGCACTGGAGCTTGTCCCACAAGAGCATTGCTGATGAGTTCCTCAGGCCTCTATAGCACGTGCTCCTTCAGAGGATGAGCTGCTCCTGCAAGTTTTTGCTGCCTCATTATGTCAGACCCACGGCTCTGATGCCTCCCCGCTGCCAAGCACCAGTACTTCTCCCTTATCTCAGGCAACGCAATGAGGCAGAACACTTTGGCTAATCTGAACATGTTATGAAAGCCAATATTTTGTGTACACGCTACATTCCTCGTGCCTGATGAAGACAGGGATAAAGGCCAGCAGAAAAGGCTTCCGGTCTGAGGTGGCCTTTGCACCCCCAGGGGCACAGCAGCCCGAGCAACAGCATCGCTTTCGAGCAGCTTGGAGCCTGCCCCACAACCAGTGCTTCACTGTATTTTTCCTTACCAAATTCCTCCATCCCATCACTCCCTGCCTTTTGTCCTCACCTCGTCCCTCACTCCAGGGGCACTTGTCACGTCAGACCCTCCCTGTAACTCCCTCAGAGCTTCAGGGCACAGAAGCAGAGTTTCGGTGACTTCTACGATCTGTTACAAACCATTTGTTGCCCAGACAGTTTGGCCAATTCTCGCTCATTATCAAGAACCGGTCCCAAAGTGCTCTGTGCCGCGACACAGAGCTCAAGGGTATGATACCTTCAGCCAAGGCCTGGTCCCTCTTCAATTTCTCGCTTTCTTTCCTCAGCCTTCTAATCTCCAGGTCTCTTTCATAGAGGGAATGGCTGAAAATCTGGCTTGAGCCTTTCTGCAGGTCGCTGATCTGCAACACAAAGATCCACCCGCGTTCCTCACCTGATCACTTATTAACTCTCCTTCAGAAAGGGGAATCCCACACTGCCAGGTCATGGTCTACGGGATTATTCCTTAGCATCTCTGACTAACTCCCAGCAGTTTTTGCTACTGATAGGATCACTTTATATTCCTTTTGGCTGTTTATGCTGAAATTCTAATGCAAAAGGCACAGAGAAGTGCTGCCTGCCATGCCAGAATCCCTGGCTGGGGCTGAGTGACATGGCCAGCAGGCAGAAACACCTGTGGATTTATCACCTTCTCAGGACAGGTATATTTATTACTCACAAACGCAGATCTGGAGGTGCTAATAACTCATATTTGCATTTCTGCTGCTGCAAAGACAGTTTTTACAGTCCCTGCTGGAAATCTGGAGTGGGGAATAGCCTGTGCTACCCGCTTCAGCATATCATCACAGCACAGACAGCACAAATATGCTTCCCGCGGCTCAAATGACCGGTTTCACCAAGCAATTACTGGAGGGTAGAGAAGAGTGAGTCCACAGGTGGAAGAAGCTTTCGTCACAGAATGGAGAACCGCCGGGAAGACGGGCCCTGGGACATCAGTATCGCAGTAACAGCACCTCAAAATTACATCTCCTTTCCTCTCCTCCCTGGGAAGTTGCTTATCAAAATCTCCTCTTCACGATCGAGTAGGGGCAAGCACAAAACATTTCACCACGTCCCTCAGAGCAGGGATTAGATGGGAAGGGGCAGGATGTGGCTGGGATGGGCTGTGAAGATGCCTCCCTACTGACCTGTGCGCCTCACGTCAGACCGACGCCTCGGATCGACCCCTTCCCCATGCTGCAGATACTCAGGACTCCATCACTGCCTCTCCAGGACATTTTCTGAGGTCTCATAAAGTGTGAGTGTGTGCTGACAGACTGGATATTAGGAAAAATTTCTTTACTGAATGAGGGGTGAGGTAATGGCACAGGCTGCCCAAGGTGGAGTCACCATCCCTGGAGGCATCCAAACACGTGTAGACCTGGCACTTGAGGAAATAGTTTAGTGGTCATGGTGGTGATGTTTTGACTGTTGGACTTCATGATCTTACAGGTCTTTTCCAACCTTAATGATTCTATGATTCTGTAATAACACATCCCTGGAGCAGACAACCACGAGCCCTCCTCTCACCTCCATCCAGCTGCCTGTTGTCACCAGGACGCCGAGGGGCTGCACAGCCTTTGGGACTGGAGCTCTCCCCGCAGACACAACCGTGCAGCTGCTCCTGGGGCGAGAGGGGGGAGCAGGGGTCCAGCTGCCCACAGGAGTTGTGTGAGCCTTGTCCTCAGCAAAGGCTGGTTACTCTTCTGTTTCCCTCCCCAGTGTGGCATCACAGATCCTGCCACCTACACGGGACATTTCTTTACCAGCTTCTTTCAGGGAAACTTGCACAGAAAGCAAGGAACCATGCAAACCAAAACAACAGGAAGAAAGCACCACCTGTCCTTCAGCTCCCTTGGTTTCAGACATGTGACCTGCTCCTCCTAAAAACTGGGTGTTAAACTACAAATCCATGTGTCTCTGAGAGGTATTTTCACTGCTCAGTGCCTACTGAAGCGTCCAGTACCTGCTCCTTCAAGGTTCTGATCTCCTCCGTTTTGGCTCCCAGCTCTTGGTCAAAGGTGAGCAGCTTCTGGGTAAGCTCCACCTCATTCCTCGCTGCCGCCTGAGCCAGGATCTTCGCCATTGCTGCAACCTCATCCTGCAGCTCTCTTATTGCCACATCTTTCTGCTTGGAGTCTGTTTCCAAACTGGAGAGGTGACCGATTTCCTTCTCTGGGCGCAGAAGCTTTGCAGCCTGTGGGCGGATCATGGGTGCCATCTCTCACTCTCTGGCTACAGAGACACTGAGCTGCCGGCTCCAGGATGGACCAGACCGGGCTTCCCACATCCCACCACACCCACATCCTCCATCCACCCAGCAAAACCAGTCCCTGCTGGGACACTCAATCAGACAGACAACTCTCTGGGCAGGGTTTGCCTGCTCTGCCCAGGAGTGGGACAGGGACGCCGTCCCCTCACACCCTCCCCAGCATCACCTTCTCCTGCGGGAGGAAATCCACGGCGGAAGTCCCCAGGGAAGGGGTTGCCCCCACATCATCGCCCAAGATGCTGATCGAGGCTGGAAGGAAGCAAACACCACAGCAGCAAATGTCAGCAGGCAGCAGTAAAGCTTCTTGAAGCATCCGTCTCCCTCATCTCAAAACTACTCTAAGGCAGCAGCTGCTTTGCCGTCCCTGAGCTCACTTTACAACCATTTAGTACTGAAACAACACCAGGGCAAACAGTCTGCTCAAAAGAGAGAACTAACACACCTTCTGGAACAAAAAAACCCTCAAAGGGTAGCAGAGACACAGCAGAGAAAGGCTCCTCTGATCTTTCAGCACTGCCCAGCCCTGCAGAGGGAGGCTACGCTTTTAGGGCTTCCCACGTGTGAGTAGCTCTGCTCACTGCAACTGGTCCTCTAGGCTCTATTTCCCCCAAAACCAGCGTGTGCTACCCTCCCTTGGCCTTCCCTGCAATTTCAAATTCTGCCCGTCCACGCAACCTCACACTATGCTGCTGGGACCCACAGCACCAGCTGTACTTCAGCGCGTCGCTATTGATCTCGTATGGCTCGTGACTGCTCAGAGCACCCAACTCCAAACCAGGAGGGCAACCGGATTGTGTACTGGACCAGAACAGGCTATGTTCATGGCAAAAGTGTTGTTCTCCCGTGGTACTATTCTCCCAAAGCTCTGCCTCTGCATTTTCAGAAGCGCATCAGCTACGGACCTCAGTTCAAGTTCCTGCACTCCAGGCAGTCCGTAACTGCACTTGAAAGGAGGAAGAAAACAAAACTTCAAACAGGAGATGGGAATCGGTGCATGAGTCACCCGTGCAGATAAAGTTAGTCATTGCCCTTCCCAATCACACATACGGAAAAAGGAAGAAGAAATGTCCCTCTCGGTTACGAGGGCAACGGCATTCCCCTTTGTGTGTCATGGTCCATTTCTTTACTGACCCAAATGCCACCGAGGACCACACATGGCCTCTGCTCAGCTCCATGGAGAAGGACTCACGCCTGGTTGCTGGCAACACTTGCTCCCCAGCTCACATCAACCTGCTCCTGCTCGGATTGACTCCACCCAGCGCTACACTGCTCAGAGAGGACACCGAGCTACAAACCCCCGGCCGGGCATCGCGCAGTACCTGGTCTCACCGCAGAGCTCCTACCAAAAGCGTCCGGTGAGATGGTGGTGACCACGCTCCCAGCCCAGGCACTCACAGGTGGCTTCCGCAGCGGCAGACGGGGCACATGACCAGCTGCTCTAGGAGCCCAGTTGCCCGGTGAGCCGGTGGGATGCTGCCACTGCAGCAAGGGGAGGTGGCGAGGAGCTGCAGGAGTCAAGGGTTTGGGCTCCTCTGCCACCTGGAGTGGTCCGGTCCACACTGTGCGACATTTCACAGGGGGAGGGGACATCTAGGGTGGAAAAAGACCACATCGCCAGCAAGATTTTAGAAAGGTTTTTTTAGCCATTGTACAACACCTGGGCACAGATCTGAGCAGAAGCAGAATCTTAGTCCCTTCCCATTTCTGCTGCACGAGTATCAGGTTTAAAACAGGAAGCCCAAAGGCTTTGCTCAAATCAAAGGTAATTACAGGGCTTTGCTGCCTTTCAAGCTTTTCCCTCTCTCTATTTGACCACCCTAGTTCTGCCATGTCCTGGCACCGCAGGGATGTGAGTCCTGCCTGGGTGTTGCTTCTCTTTACAACACACTCCTGATACTGCTGAAAATGAGAGACCTCCCTGCTTTAGACACCACAAACACTTCACCAGGTGCGATGCAGAAGGGATTTGCTCTCTCTGCAGGCAGCAGCGTCAGGCTACACAGCTCTTCCCCCATGGGAGAATCACGAAGAGGCACCCACAGGTGTGTCTCACTGTGCAAAACTGCTTTTCTTCTACATCCCACACATACACTTTTGGAAACTGAAATATTCGCTGCTCCAGCAACTTTTACCTAAACAGCACTGGCTTCATCAGGCAGCTGAGTTTTTTTCCTTAAAAATATCTATTGGCTGAGGCTTTCTGGGCAATTTTGGATTCAGCAGATCAGCTCACTGCATCAGGAATCTTGCCAAGACCTCTGAGCCCAGTATCTGGGCGCACAAACTGGCTGAGTCCAATTAGGTTTTATTCATACATGGGCACTGCTTGAACACTAGGTTCTGCAACTATCAGGCACGCTACACACACACGTCTTCAGAGCTTTGTCTCAGTATCTCTTTTTTCGGATTCCCCGAGAGCCAAAATAATAAAAATAATACTGGCACTTACCAATCGTTAACTATATAACAACCCAAAGACTCAATGACCTCCACAGACACCCCCAAATGGTTCTTTTCCCGGAGACAGGAGCCTGCTGCTACCTTCAGCCACATCCTTTCCCATTTTCCAGTTGCTCTGGATTTCTGTCACCGCTCAAGTTCTGAGCCAACCCCCCAAATTCTCCATTAGCAAGTAGCTTTTGAGGAAACATAAAGTGCAAATAGAGAAAAAAGAACATTTTCCAGACCTATTTCTGGTCACGTCCAACTTGCCGTTGGCAAACCTGTCCCGTGCTTCAGCTCTTCCCTACGGAACTTCCCGTGTTTCTTCAGCAGAGGGAGTTCAAGCTTTTCATTCCCCAACCTTTCCCCAGCATGGCCCAGACAAGGTCCCTGGGGAGCAGCACCCACCCCAATCTGGGAAGCAGCATCTGGGAAGCAGCACCCCCCCTTCCCTGGGCAGCCCCATCCACCACCAGCTTGAAGGATGCTCCCCCCGCGCCGAAGCGCAGGATGTCCCCGGGACTCACTCTGACAGCCGCGTTTTGGACCTGGCAGCCGTTGATGAAGGTGCCTTGCGGGGTGTTGAAGTCCTGAAGGACGAAGCTGTTGTCTGAGGAGCTGAATGCGAGGGCTGCGTG